TCACAACTTGTTAACAAGCTTGCTACAAACCTGTTGCGGAAAATCTTGTTGACAAGTTGTTGGAACAGCTCTGTCACAATTTGTTAACAAACTTGCTAGTAGGCTGTTGCGGAGACATCTTGTTGATTAGTTGTTAGAACATCATTGTCAACTTGCTACAAACTTGATGCGAAAAATCTTGTTCACAAGTTGGTGGACCAGCATTGTCACAAGTTGTTAACAAGCTTGCTACAAGCCTGTTGAGGAGACATCTTGTTGACAAGTTGTTGGAACACCATTGTCACAACTTGTTAACAAGCTTGCTACAAGCCTGTTGAGGAGACATCTTGTTGACAAGTTGCGAGACTTTTACGTGTGTATTTCAAACACATCTTGTTGACAAGTTGTTGGAACAGCATTCTCACAACGTGCTAACAAGCTTGCTACAAACCTGTTGCGAAAAATCTTGTTGACAAGTTGTTGGAACAGCATTCTCACAACGTGCTAACAAGCTTGCTACAAACCTGTTGCGAAAAATCTTGTTGACAAGTTGTTGGAACAGCATTCTCACAACGTGCTAACAAGCTTGCTACAAACCTGTTGCGAAAAATCTTGTTGACAAGTTGTTGGAACAGCATTCTCACAACGTGCTAACAAGCTTGCTACAAACCTGTTGCGAAAAATCTTGTTGACAAGTTGTTGGAACAGCATTGTCACAACTTGTTAACAAGCTTGCTACAAGCCTGTTGCGGAGAGATCTTGTTGACAAGTTGTTGGAACAGCATTGTCACAACTTGTTAACAAGCTTGCTACAAGCCTGTTGAGGAGACATATGGTTGACAAGTTGTTGGAACAGCATTGTCACAACTTGTTAACAAGCTTGCTACAAGCCTGTTGAGGAGACATCTTGTTGACAAGTTGCGAGACTTTTACGTGTGTATTTCAAACCTGTTGCGAAAAATCTTGTTGACAAGTTGTTGGAACAGCATTCTCACAACGTGCTAACAAGCTTGCTACAAACCTGTTGCGAAAAATCTTGTTGACAAGTTGTTGGAACAGCATTCTCACAACGTGGTTAACAAGCTTGCTAGAAACCTGTTGCGAACAATCATGTTGACAAGTTGTTGGAACATTTTTGTCACAACTTGTTAACAAGCTTGCTACAAGCCTGTTGCGGAGACATCTTGTTGACAAGTAATTGTTGGACCAGCATTGTCACAACTTGTTAACAAGCTTGCTACAAGCCTAATGCAAACACACCTTGTTGACAAGTTCTTGGAACAGCATTGTCACAACTTGTTAACAAGCCTGCTACAAGCCTGTTGAGGAGACATCTTGCTGACAAGTTGTTGGAACAGCATTGTCACAACTTGTTAACAAGCTTGCTACAAGCCTGTTGCGGAGAGATCTTGTTGACAAGTTGTTGGAACAGCATTGTCACAACTTGTTAACAAGCTTGCTACAAGCCTGTTGAGGAGACATATGGTTGACAAGTTGTTGGAACAGCATTGTCACAACTTGTTAACAAGCTTGCTACAAGCCTGTTGAGGAGACATCTTGTTGACAAGTTGCGAGACTTTTACGTGTGTATTTCAAACACATCTTGTTGACAAGTTGTTGGAACAGCATTCTCACAACGTGCTAACAAGCTTGCTACAAACCTGTTGCGAAAAATCTTGTTGACAAATTGTTGGAACATTGTCACAACTTGTTAACAAGCTTGCTACAAGCCTGTTGCGGAGACATCTTGTAGACAAGTTGTTGGAACATCATTGTCACAACTTGTTAACAAGCTTGCTACAAACCTGTTGCGGAAAATCTTGTTGACAAGTTGTTGGAACAGCTCTGTCACAATTTGTTAACAAACTTGCTAGTAGGCTGTTGCGGAGACATCTTGTTGATTAGTTGTTAGAACATCATTGTCAACTTGCTACAAACTTGATGCGAAAAATCTTGTTCACAAGTTGGTGGACCAGCATTGTCACAAGTTGTTAACAAGCTTGCTACAAGCCTGTTGAGGAGACATCTTGTTGACAAGTTGTTGGAACACCATTGTCACAACTTGTTAACAAGCTTGCTACAAGCCTGTTGAGGAGACATCTTGTTGACAAGTTGCGAGACTTTTACGTGTGTATTTCAAACACATCTTGTTGACAAGTTGTTGGAACAGCATTCTCACAACGTGCTAACAAGCTTGCTACAAACCTGTTGCGAAAAATCTTGTTGACAAATTGTTGGAACATTGTCACAACTTGTTAACAAGCTTGCTACAAGCCTGTTGCGGAGACATCTTGTAGACAAGTTGTTGGAACATCATTGTCACAACTTGTTAACAAGCTTGCTACAAACCTGTTGCGGAAAATCTTGTTGACAAGTTGTTGGAACACCATTGTCACAATTTGTTAACAAACTTGCTACTAGCCTGTTGCGGAGACATCTTGTTGACAAGTAATTGTTGGACCAGCATTGTCACAACTTGTTAACAAGCTTGCTACAAGCCTATTGCAAACACACCTTGTTGACAAGTTCTTGGAACAGCATTGTCACAACTTGTTAACAAGCCTGCTACAAGCCTGTTGAGGAGACATCTTGCTGACAAGTTGTTGGAACAGCATTGTCACAACTTGTTAACAAGCTTGCTACAAGCCTGTTGCGGAGACATCTTGTTGACAAGTTGTTGGAACACCATTGTCACAACTTGTTAACAAGCTTGCTACAAGCCTGTTGGGGAGACATCTTGTTGACAAGTTGTTGGAACAGCATTGTCACAACTTGTTAACAAGTTTGCTACAAGCCTGTTGCGGAGACATCTTGTTGAGAAGTTGTTGGAACAGCATTGTCACAACTTGTTAATAAGCTTGCTACAAGCCTGTTGAGGAGACATCTTGTTGACAAGATGTTGGAACAGCATTGTCACAACTTGTTACCAAGCTTGCTACAAACATACACACGTAAAAACGCACCAGTTGTAACAAACCTGCAGCAGACTTGTAGCAATGCTGTTCCAACAACTTGTCAACAGGATGTGTTCGCACTGCTTGTTCCCAGCTTGTTGACAAGTTGTCAACGGCTTGTTGACAACTTGCTGCAAGGTTGCTGAGCTCAACAGACTTGTTACAAGTTGATCCAACAAGTTGTTATCGTCCTGCAATTCAACAATTTATCAACAAGTTGTGAGTGACAACCTTGTAGCAACTTGATAAAATAACAGCATTCTTACAACTTGTTGACAAGCATGCTAAAATCTTGTTGCGAACACATCTTGTTGACAAGTTGGAGACTTTTACGTGTGTATTTCAAACACATCTCGTTGACAAGCGTGCTACAAACCTGTTGCGAAAAATCTTGTTGACAAGTTGTTGGAACATTTTTCTCACCACTTGTTAACAAGCTTGCTACAAGCCTGTTGAGGAAACATCTTGTTGACAAGTAATTGTTGGACCAGCATTGTCACAACTTGTTAACAAGCTTGCTACAAGCCTGTTGAGGAGACATCTTGTTCACAAGTTGTTGAAACACCATTCTCACAAATTGTCAATAAGCTTTGCTACAAACCTGTTGCAAAAATCTTGTTGACAAGTTATTGGAACATTATTGTCACAACTTGTTAACAAGCTTGCTACAAGCCTGTTGAGGAGACATCTTGTTCACAAGTTGTTGGAACACCATTCTCACAATTTGTCAATAAGCTTTGCTACAAACCTGTTGCAAAAATCTTGTTGACAAGTTATTGGAACATTATTGTCACAACTTGTTAACAAGCTTGCTACAAACCTGTTGCAAAATATCTTCTTGACAAGTTGTTGGAACATTATTATCACAACTTGTTAACACGCTTGCTACAAGCCTGTTGAGGAGACATCTTGTTGACAAGTTGTTGGAACAGCATTGTGACAACGTGCTAACAAGCTTGCTACAAACCTGTTGCAAAAAATCTTCTTGACAAGTTGTTGGAACATTATTATCACAACTTGTTAACAAGCTTGCTACAAGCCTGTTGATGACACATCTTGTTGACAAGTTATTAGAACAGCATTGTCACAACTTGTTAACAAGCTTGCTACAAACCTGTTGCGAAGATCTTGTTGACAAGTTGTTGGAACATTATTGTCACAACTTGTTAACAAGCTTGCTACAAACCTGTTGCGGAAAATCTTGTTGACAAGTTGTTGGAACAGCTCTGTCACAATTTGTTAACAAACTTGCTACTAGCCTGTTGCGGAGACATCTTGTTGATTAGTTGTTAGAACATCATTGTCAACTTGCTACAAACTTGTTGCGAAAAATCTTGTTCACAAGTTGGTGGACCAGCATTGTCACAACTTGTTAACAAGCTTGCTACAAGCCTGTTGAGGAGACATCGTGTTGACAAGTTGTTGGAACAATATTGTCACAATTTGTTAACAAGCTTGCTACAAGCCTGTTGAGGATACATTTTGTTACAGTTTGATGGCATTATCAGATTTGTTACAAGGTTGTTCTAACAAGCACCTACTAGTGTGATAAAGTCATAATATAACAAGAATGTTACAATTAAGGTTGACGACACAATGTTGTAGCAATATTGTAAATAAATCAAGACTGTAGCAGGCTTGTTGGAACAACCTTGCTACAAGTCTGATAATGCTATGAAGCTTGATACAAGTTGTTAACAGCTGGTTCCAAACTTGTTGACATCTTGGTACAAGCAGTGCGAATACAACTTGTTGACAGCTTGTTGCCAGACTTGCTACAAGATGTGAGATTTTTGCGTGTGTGATGTCCCAAACATGTAGCAACAATGTGCGAACCATACCTGAATGAAGATGGCGCGTTGAGAGTTGCCTCAAAAATACCGGCGGAAATCGTAGAAACTAAAACCTAGAAAAATATAATATTTCGTTAGTACAGTACTTCATTAGGACAGTACTTGCTAACGGCAAGCTCGGTAAAAGCTAGCGCAAACAAAAGATTTTATATTTAACTATAGTTACTATACATATAGCCAGCAGTTTACTAAAAAGCCGGCTTGCCGGCTGTCTAGTCACTTCGTTTGAAAATCACCTTACAAACAGCTACAGTACAGTGTAAGCTCAGGAAAGATGATGCGGTGTCTACTAAAAGGCTGACTACAGTATGTAACAATTTTTTTTCTTCATATAAATACTGCTTTTGATGTATAACCCAGCTAGTTTATCCTGATGATGACTGAAATATAGTCGAAACGTAGATAAATAAAAATGTTATCGATTTTTGGAGTTTCACTTTCTTGTTTTGTATACAGTATGTAACACCTCCAACGTCACAATAAGCTTTCACGTTGTTCCAACGTCGTACGAAAGCTTTGTTTATAAACGTTGTGTTGAGAATGACAACACTATTAGCCTTTTTCCAAAACAAATCACAGTACATTCTGGGATCGTTTGGAGGGACAAAATATGGTGACAGGCGTCAAATATGTGAAAGAGTAGACTGAAGTATCTGCTATCAAATATCAACTTTTTACACGACCAAAAATGAAATATCCCCTTTTTACATTAAACATTTACTTTAAATGTGTGCTGCCATATTTCTTGTCCCTCGAACATGGGATTCTTGCGACTAGACCCAGGACTTTGCGAAATGGCTAATTGAGGATTCCTCTGACATCACAAATTACAGTATTTATATTTTTTGTCTCGCATCAAGAATTTCTCCATTCGTCGTTGCGTAATTACCGCGTCATTGATCTTATATTAATAAACTCTCTATTGAAATTCCATTCATCGCACTGCGCGTGATACTGTATTTATCATAGACTGTTATAGCGCCCTACCCTGCCTGAGGTCATTCCAGCTTCAAGCATTTCTGAGGATGTCTCCTTTGTGAGAATATGTGGTAAAACTGATGCCAAGCAATAAAGAATCCCACTACAGAATTTGACACACATAAAATTCAATGAAAACTGCGAATTCACTTTGTCATGAAAAAATATATCTCCTGGGGTAGGGGTACGGGTGCGGGAGTCTGCACCTCTCCAAGCCTTGGCAAGGGGAGGGGTCCTTGTCAATTCCATTTATTGGGTTTGACAAGGCAATTAGAAACATAATTTAAGTAGAGGGAAAATGAGACAGTAAAATAATTGTGAAATTATGAAGCAAGACTGCAGATTAGGTCAACGGTAAGTGTCACGCCTTGACCAAAGCTTGGTGGACATTCTCTCTACTAGATATGTCTAGTTATGTGCTTTACATACTAAATGCCTTGTTTATATACTACATACAGTATCTATTATACAATATAGGTGATTCCAGCTATATAGACAAATTTTGATCTAGGCAAGAGGACAAAATCCATCACCACAGCTAGAAAGAGTGTGCTAAAATTAGTAAAACTGCAAAGTTTGGCCGCGAAATGTTACAAATTAGGAAAATATAGCCCTGCAAAATTTGCAAATTTTGTATTAATTTGTATTATTTATTACGCACGGGGAAATGCACCACTTTCGGCCAAAATGTGGTGCTTTTTCCCGCGCGTAATACTTAACAATTATTCGCCGAAGGCGAGGTGATCATCGGGGAATATTCGCCGAGACGATGTCGAGGTGAATATTCCCCGATAATCACCGAGCCTGAGGCGAATAATTCTCTTAGTATTGTTGCACAAGTTTTTTTGTGTTTTTCTGGTCTGAATTCATTTTGATTTCGCTATTTCTTTATCACTAACTTCAACAAAACGGTTAGTCGCCATTTTGAAAATTTCGAGTTTGTTATATTCACCTGTAGGTGAATATAACAGATTAATACGTCAAATTTGACCAATCACCTTGTAGGATTTGTTATGTTCACTTGTGCAAAAATACTAAAAATTAATACAAAATTTGCAAATTTTGCAGGTCTATATTTTCCGCATTTTACAACATTTCGCGGCCAAACTTTGCAATTTTACTAATTTGAACATGCTCTTTCTAGCTGTGGTGATGGATTTTATTCTTCTTGTCGAGATCAAAATTTAGTCTATATAGCTGGAAGCATCTATTATGATACAATGAAAAAAGTTCAAGAGGGTTAATCAGCCATTCCGAAATTGATGAGTGGACTGGGGACGATTGTTAAAAAGTGCTCAAATTAAGAAATGAACCAAATCACTAAAAAGACCTCCTCAAAATTAGTAAGTATACAAAGTTTGAAGACGTTTACATGGATATCCTTCGAATAATAAGCTTTCGAAGATCGTGATATTTACTATGAAATGCATTGTAATTTTTGTTTTTGGGACGCGCGTCCCAAAAACAATCTTTTAATCAGTAATTTCACAATTTTGGAATTAGCTTATTATTCAAAGGATATTCATGTAAACGTCTTCAAACTTTGTATACTTACAAATTTTGAGGTGGTCTCTTTGGTGATTTGGTTCATTTCTTAATTTGGGCACTTTTTAACACTAGTCCCCAATCCTCTCATTAACTTCGGAATGGCTAACAGGACAAAATGAGAACCATGGTGAACAAACCTGCACCAACAGCTGAAAATAAATCTACCATGATGACGAGAAGGAAACTCAAAAAAATTTACCCATTCTCCTGATAAAGAAAAAAATAACAAATTAACATCAGACAAATTTAGATTACCGTAAAATTACAGCCAAAAGTGGAATTGTTTAAAATCTTTACATATACTGTACAGTAGTATGTTGTTACTTGTTAGAACTCTACAATAGTATGAATTAAATTGTTAAAACCAGGGACACCGGAACGATGTGAAGGCAAGGGGGGCAGATTTTCGTGAAAGGGCACTTTTGAATTGATATATACTAACTTAAAGAGATGTTTGCAAAACATAGGGGTGTGAGGGGGTTCTCTGCCAGGCGATTGTGCTATTCTTGAAGCTCGATGACTGCATTACTTGCGTTTTCTGAAGCAAATTCGTAAAATAATTGCACTAACATTTCTGACAATTCGCTATTTCGACAAAGCAATCCTTTAAATTGAAAGGGCACCTTTGCCCCTCATGGTAAAGGGCAACGGGGGCGGCTGCCCCTCCTCCTCCGGCGTCTTTGGTTAAAACTATCCTAAAAGAAGGTCTGTTTATTTGAGTTACTACACAGTACAGTATATCAGTACGAGGCTTATCTTCAATCTATTTGTTCTACTGAAATTGGAACACTTAATTTACGTTTATTTCTAAGGTTTATTTGTAGGACAGCTTGTTATTTTGACAGGCAATCTCAGTGTATATACAATAGTGTGCAAAGTTGCCCTTACTGTGATATATTAGTCTAGAACATACTTGTTATGATACTGAGTACAGTCAGGAAAATTACACTAAAAGTAAAAAGTAAAAAAAATGTTATTGTTAGTACTAGATTATTTTTAAGTACAGTTGCACTACTTATATTAAAAGTCGTAAGTCTATAGGACCTTACCAGAATAAGGAATTATAAAAGATTCTGTCCACGCCACTAGAACATAACAAAAATAGTTTGTTAAAAACTACCGAAATCCTTATAATTTTCTCTTAATAATTTATTTACTACCATTTATATAATCAAGAATTACCTATGGGCTATGACACACAAGTCAGTCATTAGACATTAATCATTATCCACCTTTTCTGAGCATGCTAGATTGCAAATTTTCGGACAAATAAATAGAATGTAACAAGATGTATGGTACAGTACATAAGCTGTTAATTGTAATTCGGTACCTTAATTTTGTATTATTCATGATTTCAAGGAATAGTGTATAAAGACCTGTAGAAAAATTATATTAAAAGTTTAAGAGGAGATTTTTTGTACAGTATGTTACGTAACACGCGCTCAAAACTAATGCGTATAATATACCACTTGAGGTTATGATTAAATTCAAAATTTTTATTTTTTAATACGTTTCTCAATCGGCAAACAAACTTAAAAAGTATGTTTAGTGCTTTATCTGTAAAATAACGCTAAAATGAAGAGATTTTAGATCATACGCCAAAAAGAAAATGATGTCTGAAGTTCAGCAAGTCTTGCTTATATGGCTGTAAATATGGCGTCAATTTTAAAGCATCATTTAATTGACAATTTTTAACTATTATTTTATGTTTCTCAACCGGCAGATGCATTTAAAAAGGTAGGTAACTCTATAAACTAGAGAATAAAGCTAAAACAAAGTAATTTTGAGAGGAACGCCAAAGAGATTTTAGGTTTTGAACACTTTTCATTGCAAATACGTGACATTGAAAAAAATTGCCTCTTAAACGTTTAAACATGTGTAACTATACAGTGTATGGTATAAATCAATGCTTTGAATTAAGACAAAAGATTATTTTCTTTCTAGTACATGTACAGTACATTGTCTCCAGACTATACATGTGTATAATAAAAAAATAGTAATCCAATATCCTAGGTTTGTTCAAAATGACACCCACAAACTGGTTTTGGCTTGGGTGCTTTTGAATCCCTGTGGACTACAGTTAAAGGGTAACTTTGGCAAATAAATTCAAATTTGCTAAGGAGATTGAAAAAAATCTTTATTATATTATTAGTAGATACATTGTTTATAATTGTTTACCTAAACATAAAATATATGCGGAAATCCACATGTATGCAACTGGATTTGTCTAAATTGAAAGTTAGACTTGCATTAGTTTTAGACTAATGACAATATTATGATATACTGTAAGTCAGGGATGTATTACTTGGGGGGTCCACCTAGCCATGGCCAGAGGGGGTGCAGGGGGGTGCTATTTTTCAGGATGAAGCAAAAAAATATGAGAAATAGTAATTTGAGTAATAACATGATGATCAGCAAACTGTCAAGTGAACAATGATTACAATTCAAATACAGTGGTCAAGCAAGACTTTGCAGTAGTGAAGCAAGTTGATGGGTGGGCAGCACACATGACCAACACAACTCGCCACTGAACTCGGCACCATGCATGCAGAGCTGGCAGAGCATCCGGGCCCCCTACCAGATCATGTTGGATCCATCCTGCAGTAAGTATACTATATAACGATTAGAAAAGTAAAGAGCTAGGTGACTTTTTATAACTTACTTTAAAAATAGAATAAAAAAGATAGATAGCTCCAAATCCAATCACAACCAAACTAAAAATCAATATCATGATAAAAAATGATTCAGCAAATTTTATAAACCATCAGTTCAAAATTTCTAATGTGTAAATTATAACTTTTTAATTTTTAATACCTTATTTGTGTAGTTATTGTGGGAAGCTATAAAGAAAGTAGCAAAAACATACTAGCTTAGTTTCTTTGTTCTTAATCCATCCACATACTGTACATGTACAATATGGAGGGGGACATTGGGATTTACGGCATGGCGGTATTATATAGCTTATTTTTCTTACGGTATTTTCCTTGAAAAATTGCTGTAATACAATATTTGAAATCTTGCGGTACACTGTATTTGCAATTTTGCACTCAACAACTGCGGTAATTGACAAAATTTGCTTGCAGTATTACGGTATTGAATACCCTCCAATGCCCCCCTTAAATATGGGCAGACTAAACTGTTAAGCTTCAGTGGGGTGGTTTCAATCCTCACATCAAACTTAAATGACAGTTATGTGAAGAGTCAGTCAACGCTCTACCAAAAGTTGTGGGTTTTCTCCACAGGCAGGCGCTCCAATTTCCTCTCACAGGGAATGTTTTACTCACAGACAATTTTACTTGGCAAGTAAAATTCTGCCCATGTGTGTTCATGCATATCTGCATGCCCAATATTGTGTCAATATCTTCAAGTAAGTCAATTACCCATTACATAATGCTTTCAGCCCGATTGCATGCTAATTTCATGTCAATAATATTTAATTCTTGTTTTCAAAAAGTACTGAGTTTCAACCTTACCAATTTTGATTTCCAAAAGTTTAAAAATTCTATACACAAGTATGCTAAATTTTGAAGACCAATAAATATTGGAATTGCCTACAGTGTAGAAAGTAAGAAAATTACTATATTTAATAAAGAGTGAATTGATTAAGTGTGGGGTCATTCATCCATAATACAGTACGTCATCTGGGAAGTTTTCTTGTAATTTTCTTTCAACAATTTGATTATTGCCACATACTTGAACAGGTACAAATTTAATACTCAATGTGTACCCGGGGCCAGTTGTATAACAAAGTGATTAATTAAAGTTAACTATCAATGATTAAGTGCAAACGTCATCCAATAAGAAGCATCTATTTGAGAGTTATAATTAATCACTACAGTATTTAACTACAAAATAGTGGTTAAAAAAAAGTGATTAAGAGTTTTATACAACCGGCCCCTGGTGTTTAAATAAAGTATGTACAGTACAAGGTAACAAACCGGCTTTACAATTGAATCTAACATTCTTTAATTAGCCCACCAGTCCATACCATACAATGTTTAATGCCACGTTTGAGACATGTCAGACTTAAACAGATAATATGGTACTGACTAAATTACAGTTTTGGACACCTTGGAAAGCTAGGTCATATTAATGGTACCACCAAAATTAATGTAAGTATGCAGATAGGAATCTTGAATTCCACATACCCACATGCATGGGGGGACATGGCTGCAAACCCTGATGTGCCTTTAACTTTTGTCTTTAGTATTTTACTCTGTCTAACGTCAGACAATTTTACTTGTCAAGCTAGTGGAGAGTGCTAGCTGCCAGTCAATGGGTTAATGATACTGTATAATACTGTTAGTACTGTATAAATAGTCCAAACTTACATACCAGTTTAGACAAGGACACAGAACCAAAATACATGACACCAGTATGTAAAACCATGCTTGGTAACCACATCTTTAACACAGATCTTGAAAAAAAAATAATAAAATAACTCATTGACTTGAGTGTATCACAAAATATGTAAGTCACAATTGTAATACTTTTGAATAATACTTTCAACATGAATCTGTATAATTATGTAAATTGGTATAGGTATTAAAAGTACATTCATGTACTGTATGACTACAGTTTGTACTTATGCCTGAGCTGCAGGGGATTTGAGAGTCATTGTGACTGTAAAGTTATCAGGTACTGCGGATTCAGGTAGACCGTGAAATGTGAATAGTTGTCGCGTTAGTTTTAACAGTTGTACGATGACGTTTCTAGGCAGATTTTCGACGTTTCTAAGGAGTGGCTTCAATGTTTATTTTTAAAATTTGAACGTTGTAATTACAAGGTAATTGCTAAATAATATACTTCAAAATAAGGTTTCCGTTTTTATATCAATTTTTTAAATAAGTTAAGGTTAGGTAAGGGTTTAGTTTTGCGTTAGGATGATTTTTTCTACGTTATAAAAACGGAAACCTTATTTTGAAGTATATTATTTAGCAATTACCTTGTAATTACAACGTTCAAATTTTAAAAATAAACGTTGAAGCCACGCCATAGAAACGTCGAAAATCTGCCTAGAAACGTCATCGTGCAACTGTTAAAACTAACGCGACAACTATTCGCATTTCACGGTCTACCTGAATCCGCAGTATGATAATAAGATTTACTAGACATGTAGTGCTAACCAATACATGCACATACATATCTACCATCTCAGACAAATCTGTTGCCTTACCTATCAATACTTGAGAGTTTTGTGTATCCAAACACATGAGCGGACATTAGAAGGAAAACACAAATACCACATTGCCAGCTAAAAGTTTAAACCATGATAAGTAAAAAATAATACACCATTCAAACAGATGTATAACACTGTCATTATACTGTTTCAAGGTACAACAAAAATATAATGGATCTACATCACTGATCTGCATGCATAATGCCGATTTTGTTCTGCATTATTTATTATTTCCATGTAGCCATATACAAAAAAACTTTGGTGTTAGTTTTGGCTTAATTACTGGTGAACAACCAGATCAAGGTCGCAACACAATCGGCACTGTCCAATACCAAAAGTATGATCAGAACTTTTCAGGGAGTATACAGGTAGTTGCCTCAAGCCACAGCAGAGTGGCCTTAAATTCTCTATGGTTTCTTCAGTTGAGATCAGTTGTACAGTACGTCTTTAATAGGTTATAATATTTTTAACCTAATGGCCGGTTAACAAAAAGTCATTCAGGCCACTAGACTGTAAAGTATTATTTTTGCACGGGGAACTTTTCCGTCGTAAATGGCAGTTGCATGGAAATGTTCGACAGAACATTTGAGAATGGTTGCATAACTTCCACAAGATGCCACTATGGTTGGTGTCGAGTAGAAAAATTTTGAAAATTTGGAATCTCTGGATCGTCTGTAATGGCATTTTCAGAGTTTTCTCTACCTCTTTTAGCAAGGGCCAACATGTATGTATGAGACAAAATAAATCATTAGTTCATCAAAAATATGCAGATTTTGTAGAATTTTCCTGAAAATGCGCTGTGTTTCCTAAAATTTCTGTGCGGGAAACTTGTTCTGTAAAATTTCTGTCCCCGCACAAGCCAAACTTTAGAGTCTGGAACTCCCAGGTGGTGTCTGCAATGGTGTGTGTCAGCATTCAACTTGAATTCCTTTGGTGCAGACTGCAGCCTGGAGAGCAGATCACTATGATTTCACAATTCGTTCAAATGAGCAAAATTACTCTACTGTGTTAATAAACGACGTTATAACAATGTATATACCTGATAAACAACGTGGGGTATTGAAACTTCAGAACGGAAAGCACATACTGAAAAATTAAAAAGTCAAAATATACAAATAAGTCCATTTTGAGGCAAACTGTATTTATAAAAAACTTACATGTAATTCTTAAATTAATTACCGAAGGGCCATTCCATTTCATGTATCCCCTCTCCCTCATGCCATGGCCGAGAATTTCTGACGGGGGTTGAAAAGCTGTTTCTGAGGGGTTGTGTTGTGCATGTGCATCGGCATCCTTTGATCTTTGTGTTTTTTCTGAGGGATAAGGCAGACTTTGATATTTTTTCTTCGGGATTCAAATTTTATTGAACTCATCCATAGGGGGGGGGGGATATATACTTTAAATGGAATGGCCGAATGTTCCGAAATACGCAGCACACGTGTTTAAGTTTCACCGATTAAACCGCAATCACAAGTGGTATATTATTCCTATTGTACAAAAGTTAGCTATATACTGTACCTTGTTAACAAGAGTATGTAAGGACGTACAAAAAATTAGAAAAAGCAAATTATTTGACCAGTTTTTCTGCACTAAAATTACTCGCTCCTTGTCCTCCATGTTTTCTGAAGGTCGTTTCTCCGGGGTTGTAAATCGCTACCGCACTCGGTGGGTATTTCTTCCGACCAGGAACAAAGCCCCGGTCGACTTTGAGGAACAGAACAGAACGGAACGGAACAGAACAGAACAGATACTGAATCGAAACAAACAAACAAACAAACAAACAAACAAACAAACAAACAAACAAACAAACAAACAAACAAACAAACAAACAAACAAACAAACAAACAAACAAACAAACAAACAAACAAACAAACAAACAAACAAACAAACAAACAAACAAACAAAACAAACAAACAAACAAACAAACAAACAAACAAACAAACAAACAAAACAAACAAACAAACAAACAAACAAACAAACAAACAAACAAACAAACAAACAAACAAACAAACAAACAAACAAACAAACAAACAAACAAACACTAACAAACAAACAAACATGAAACAATACATACTCAAAGAGATATAACACCACCAAGCAATCACTTATAAATATTTAATTCAAAAGGTGAAATGTACTATGCTATTTTATAGCTATATTTATAAACTATATTTATATGTACCGTACTACAATATTACATGTGCTAGTTTTAACTTAAGCGTTTGATAACAAATTCAACGATAATGCGATTACATAGTGACAATACAGTTTAAAAATTACTCAAAAAATTAGTCGAAAATTCTTGTCTTGGATCACTTTTGTGTTTTTTTTTTCAGTCAATCTAAATTAATTAAAGGGCATCGTCCGTTAAAGGGGCAGTGTCACCAATTTTGACCAAAAATGTTTTTATTCAAAGGCTGACCCGCTAATTTGACAAATAAACATTATAAATAGGTTCAGTTATGATATACAGGTCATATTAAACAACTTTGAACTTCTACAAAACATCTAAGACGACGTTTTCATACAAATTGATCTAAACTTGAAAAAGTGTGTGCATGCCAACAATGAATCAAGAATCAAGATGTCATTTACAGTCCATCTCAATCCTCAAGACCTCAACCATCCAGACTTCTGTACATGTTACTGTTTTATGTTATTTATATTGTTTTATATATTTGTGATTGTTTTATGTTGTGCTTACAACCATTCTTTTAGGTTTTGTGCAAGATTCCTAAAGATTTGCGAGGGTCAAAATCGGCGACGCTTCCGTGATACTCGGCCCCTTTAAATTTTCCTGAGAGTACCAGTTGCTTGTGAAATGTGCACTGAATGATAAATATTTCATAAAAATAGCCATGATAAGAATACACCCTTTCGACAATTACGTCACAACTACACTGTTTTCAACTTATGACCATCTTAAATGGAAAGGATTTCAAGTTTTTTTCTCATGGGCTATGCAAAGAGAAGCAGAACATCCTTCTTCAACACATGCGCGAAAAAAGTTTTGGATTTGGATCAGTAAATATGGAAATAAGCATTAACACGAAAACGAGGCTCCAGGTCATGACCTGCAGCCTCGTTTTCGTGTTAAAGCTTATTGCCCCACATTTATTGGTCAAAATAAATCATTATTTTTCATGCGTGTGTTGAAGAAGGATGTTCTGCTTCTCTGTGCATAGCCCATCAGAAAAAAAACTTGAAATCCTTTGAAAACAGTGTAGTTGTGACGTAATTATCGAAAGGGTGTATTAAGCCTCATACTGTACAGACGGCAATTTTATTTGTTCGTGTGTACGGGAAAAAATGGACAAGTTTCCCTGCCAAAGTTATATATATGCTCACAGCAGGTTTTGGAAAGGAAGATTTGTTCGTCAGGTATACGGCCGGCAGAGGAAAACTTGACAAGTGTACAAGAAATACTACTAAAATAAAAGGCCGCCTTGACGTTGACGTAAGATAAATGTTTACAGTAGCAACAAAACTTGTCAAGGAAAACTTGTTGACTGTGCACAC